TCTGTAAATGTCAGGGGTAACTCTCGAATGTTCAGCCTTTCACAAAGGACACTGACCAAGAAGATGCAGGTTCGTCTATCACCCAGGCAAGGTATTTACATGTAAGATGTCTGCGCTTAGACTGGGCAGGACCACTTGTAGCTATTTATTGTAAGGATACAAGCCACCAGAATATGAGTATGAGAACATAAACACTTGTTTATAATAAAGAAAATAGAGAAATCCCCGAAATGCCTATTGTGGGACAATCTTACGCTCTGGTACAGCCATATAATGAAATAATATGTGAAGCTGGTAAGAAGAACATTTTTCTACATCACTGAATGCAATATTGCTGAGTAAATTGAGTTAAAGGGGGAAAATAAGAGTGCAGAACAGTGTATACATGCAATTTATTTTTCAGTATATTTTGATATGTGAGTATACATGCATTTTATTCCTGCTAATACATGAGTTAAAAAACATGAGAAGATAAAACCACACTGTTACATTACAAAGTTGGAATTCAGGGAGTAGTATATGAGTTATTTAAAATTTTGCACATCAAGCACATTATTTTTATAAATAGCAAAAACACTAAAGATGGTCACATTTGGGGGGAAATGCATTCTGATAAGAAAGTGGTAAATAAGCTGCAGAGGAGAAATCCTTCAACTCCTTGGAAATATAATTCTATTAGAGTTCAGAGACAAATAAGAAAGAACTGCTTTTGGCTAAAGAGAAGCACTTGTCGGTCTTAAGGGAAGGGTTGTACATGACCCTGACCTTGAATCAGCGGGGTAGGTATGATCAACTCATTATAGTTCACTTGAGTTTCTTTCTGCATGTGAATTGTCATGCAGAGACTTACTCTCCTACTGACTTCTTTCCTAGCCAGCTCACCAACAGGCCAGTTTACCCAGGAAAATCTGTTGACAAAATTTGTCTTGTATTTATTATCTGTGCCAACCTTTCTTGTCATTACTGCAGATACATTAAGAGTTCACTGGGTTTATAAGGAGGGGCATTAAAATCCTATGTAGACTGTATTAAGATTCTTAATAATCTTCATATTCTTTGGCCCGGGGCCTCCTTCCTAAGGAAACTGGAAACGTAAGCCAAAATTTATTCAATGTAATATTAGTTACAATAATAAAAAACTGGAATAACTGAAATACCAAAAATACCTGAGTGAGTAGAATATATGAAGGGATATACCACAACCTTAAAGATATTTACAAGAGTTTTTAATGACTTGTAGGGTACTTAGGATAAGTGGGAAAAAAATGCAAAATTATATTCAATAGAAGCAAAAAGAAAAAGTTTGCTTGGAGCCCCCATATGTCAGAACATCCTGTAAGAGGTTGAAAACGGCGTTTTCATGTCAGCGCCAACAATCCAGTTTCCTTGGTTATCCTGTGGGACGAAGGGGATTTTTAGTCTCTTTTGGGTTATTTCCAACTAAGGTATCATGTCAAAGATTTCCTACAATAAAGATTAGGCACTGGGGACTCCTCATCAGTACTTGACAAAGAAACAGATAAACAATAGCTGAAAAAATGGAGTCTGTGCCCAGAGACTGGAGAGTGGGTACAGGGTAGGAGCAAGCCTGGATGTAACTGCACACCCTGGGGAAAGGAACGGATCCATTCCTGACTGACATTCCTGCATTTAATTGAAACTAAGGCAAACTCTACGCTTTAACTCCCCCCCCCCCCC